CCCCCCCCCCCCCCCCCGGGCTCCTGTGGGACACCGCATCTGCCCCAGCATCACAGTGTTCATGAGTCACGCCTGGTACCTTGAGGTATGTAGGAAAAACATTTAAAGCTGTGACTATGGCTGAGCCGCTGGTTCTCCGAATCGGCATCGAATCTTCAGTTTAGAATTTGGCCAAATTGAATCGGGGACTGTGATCCGAATCAACGAATCAAATCACTCTCCCTGATTCAGGCCAAATCCAAATTGAATACGGTCTGTTTCGCACACCCCAATATTTTCTGTCCACATAGCTTTAATCAGCTCCATGCTTTTACAGAGCTGATTTTGTAGAGCTTTTTTTATTTTGTAGTTTACGGATGGCACAGTTTTCCTACAGAACTTTTAGACAGACATCTTTACCCTGGATATTTACAGAGTGCCTGTAAATTTACAGGCATTTGGCAACCTGCTGTGCTGTAATGTACCGATGCAATTTGGGGGGTTTCTTTCTTCTTTGCACGCTTAACAAATTCCTTCTTTTTGTCCTTAGCTCTGCTGACTATAGCTATAGTCATACCTTTGGGTTCTTTTATCAATTATCTGAATTGTTTAACCACTAATTTATTGTTCTTGCTATCAGTTTTTCCATTTGTTAATTTTATATATGTGTGTCAGTGTGTGTGTTATTTCTACTTATCCAAAATGTTTTTTTCACCTGAAAAGCCTTCTTTTCATGAATGTGTACCTTGAGGTTTTATGAAGCATTTATTTTTCATATTTCTGGTTCTTCATACATGTAAAAATATAAACTGTAAAGTAAGAAGTGAAGGAATTTTCAGATACGAGTCATACTGTTCTAGTATTACCATATACTTGTCATCCAATGCTTCTTTGGATTGGGCACTAACTTTGGCATTCAAAGCGTTTTTGTTTCACCATGGTTTTAATAACCCAACAAGGAAAAAATGGGCCTGTGTGTTGTCTTTGCTGGGGACATTCTACCAGCTCAGTTCATGGCACTGACATTAGAGTAAAACCTGGGACTCCATGTGTCTTGCTGCTGCAGCAGATCGCCTAAATTTGATCTGAGTTATATAATGGGAAGCGTTTGATAGAATAAAAGAGAGCTTTACTCAAGATTGTTAGGTCACTTCTTATATTCAGCACTCATGAACAAGCCAGTGATGGTTAAAATTCTGGAAGTGGACATGTTGTTTGCCTTCAGTTAGCAATGAACCAGCTGGCAAATATACGTACAACCATTGAAATCCCTTAAGCGTGCTACGCTCTATACAAAAGTACTCTGTCTGGAACAACGATGTGTCTTTTTGATGCGTTGCCTATGAAAAACAGGTCACAAACTGTTGAACGTAGTGTGCACCCTTCAATAAAAAAGGGTTTTGGTATTTTTTGGATATTGCTGTTTCTCTGTGGGGGGAGGAGGAGGTAAGGACAAAATAAAATGATATGGGGAATTTGATAGCAATCGTGCATGGCTGTTAAGAATTTTATTATTCTGTTGAAGATACATTTCCGTTGGGTATATTTCTAATCTTGCATGTAATTAGGGCTTGGGATAAGGAATTTGTTTTATAATCCAGTGATCACTAATGATAAACTCCAAATGCAATTGTATAAGAAGCTGCTTGCTTATGTCAGTCTGCTTGTTATCACAGTTGCAACCTTCTCTTTTATGGCATTTTAAAAAAATCAATAAAGAAAAGTCCCAACTAACTGGGAGAAAATGGTAATATAAGTAGCCGTCTGTTTCTGTGGGGTTTAAACCTGCCTGTTTGAAACATACCTGCTGGAATATATTTGCTGTCCATATCAATGTGGGGGCAAGGGGGGGAACTTGTTCAAAATAGCTCCAGGTTTCAAGTTTTGAAAGTAAGTAGTTAGTACATGAATAATACACATCTCATGACTAATAATTATTAATGTGGTTTCCCACCTCCTCCCCCAGCTTCAGGAACTGGAGGTAAAGGAAGTCGGCCAGTGGATCTAGGACCAGACTACAAACCACCAATGAGTGGTAAGAGCCTGCATAAAAACATGTCAGTTGAGATCTGTGAGGCTGAAATAGGACATACCTTGGGGATTACAGTTGGAAGTTTCTCTTAAAGATTAACTGTAGTTCATAGGTTGGTGACATCTCCAATAATTACATTTTTCTCCATTCAGAAACCATTTGAAGTTAAGCAGTTCTCAGGTAAGACAGGAAACAAAGTTGACACAATACTATGTTAGAGTCATTCTCCATTATGTTAAACATGCTAACAAATATCCTTAGGCACCATTTTTCAGTTGTCACCAAGCCTTTTTCGCAACCTAACTTAACCAGATTAGCGTTTGGTATTTTGAGACCCTTGCTCTGTGGTAACACTAGTTTAGATCTAAATACATTTTATTTTTTCCGCGGAAAATGATTTTTGTAGGTTATCAATAAAGTAGGAAGTACAAGGAATACCTTATGCCCAATAGTTCTAGCAGGGTCCAGGCTCCATGTGTGTTAACTTTCATGGACAATGTTGTATCTTGAGCAAGGTCTTCCTTTTCACCCTCAACATTCAGCTTCTTAGATGCAACAGATATCTTCAATGTTTAAAGGAAGCTTATTTTCCATGCAGATTCTTACACTGCACTTATTTGCATTCCAGCAACTTTCAGTAGAGCATTAAATCTAAAATATGGTTAATACTTGTCATGTATCTATTGAATCCTCTCCACAGAAGGAGAATTTGTGCAGTGGAATGGCTTGTCCTCTGAAGGTGTTTTTTCAAGTGTCCATGCCTCTCTGTGCTTATACTCCAGAGAGCATCTTATGGAAATGCATCTTTGAATGAGAGGGTTATGGATTCTGGTCGTGCTTAGTCTCTGAAGAGTTGGTTCCAGTCTGACTGGCTCCCAGAAAGCTGTGTCACTGCACATAAAAGCATAACCATCATGGAAGGTTTACATGGGCCTGAGGAGAGGACTCGTTAACCAGGGTCTTCATCTTGGAACTTTTGGTGCTCCTTTAAGATGACCAGGACTCAGACCAGGGAGCATTTGAAGATGAAAGCCAAGATTTTCAGTTTGACTCAGTATTTCAGAGGAAGCTAGTCTAGAGAATCAGTAGCAGGTTTTGATGTAATTCTAGTTGTCCACGCTGTGAAGATATTTTGTACTAGTTGGTGTTTCCTAAGGGCAGATGCTTTGTGTCTGTGTGCAACTGCATTACTATAGTCCAGACACGTGGTGATAAACATATGAGTGACTGAGCTCAGGTGTCTTTTAAGATGGGGGAGAATTTACACAGTATCGACATCTTTTGATGGGCTAAGTGCTAGGCTTTCCATCCCTATCATCTAGTCTTCCTTTGAACCTCTTTATGATAGTTGGTTGGGTTTCTCACCAACCCTTAAAAGTTTTAGCAACAGCTGTATCTGTCATTGCTTATTTTTAATGAGTTATCACTTGGAAATACGTCAACAAAACATCGTTTGCAGGATGTTAGTTGTACATCCTGTCATAAGATGATGATGTGTACATTTTCATAACTACACAAAGGAAGGGGTATTTAACTTGAAATTCAGTTTTGTTTAGATAAACTACTTATTAGCTTGCCTTAATCTGTATAATTCCTTTATACATTTGTAGTAGGGTTGGAGTGTTATAGTAGCTATGAGGGTCCAGAAAATGTCTGGGAAGCGAGGCTTTTTTGTGATATGATCTTTTATTGGGCCAGCTCTATAGTGGAAAGAGCTGTTAGGCAAGCTTTCAGCCATCAGAGGCCCTTCCTCAGGTCTGAAGGAGGAGCAGCTGCAGGCTGAATTCAGAAAAGACTGAATATCAGAAAAGACTCCATGCAAATGCAGTCTCCTTGAAGGAGGGCTGTGAACCAGGAGTAACGAGGTGTGAGCTGGGACTGTTACAAGATGGGTCACCTTGAATGGACTTGCTCTGTCTGTTCTACTGCAGTGTTTTTGTCTTATAAAAGTACCTACTCTCACCTCTTTAGTCTTAGTTCACAGCCCTCCTCCATGCAGACTGTTTGCATGTCCTAGTCTGTAGGTATCAGCCTGGCTTGCCTTCTGCTTCAGACTGGAAGGGCAACTCTTGTCCATAAACTCGTGTAACAGTTCTCCCAGCTATGCAGTTGGTCCAATATAAGATGTCACAGAAAAGACTTGCCCTTCATACTTCTGAACACTGCTGATTCCTTTTTGTATCTTGTGATGGGGAGTATTTTCTTAACTATACATAATATACATAATAACAAGAGCTCTTTCTCCCTCCTTCCCCCCTCACCCTCTTACAGGCAGTAACAGTCCTCATGGAAGCCCCACATCGCCCTTGGATAGCAACATGCTTCTAGTGATCATAGTATCTGTTGGAGTGATCACCATTGTGATAGTGGTGATTGTTGCCGTCTTCTGCACTCGTCGTACCACTTCTCACCAGAAAAAGTAAGAAGTCTGCTTCATTCCACTCTGCTTTTTTCTTTATTTAAGTACATAATGCAGTATTTGTGATGCCTGGGAGTTCCTCCTGCCAGTGATCTAGGGAAATATAAAGTAACTGTCCTGAACAGCAACCCAGAAATCCAGAAGTGTTGTGCTGATTTCCCCATTGCAGGCAGACAGTGCCTTGGATGCCCAACCCAATGATGTCTCTTTCTGCCTGCATTTAGGAGTGGCAGTTGTCTCTAAGTATGTATGCCTCAGTCCCTTGCCTAAACCATGTCCAAAATTATAAAGGTATTCAGAGATGGCATAACATAATCTATATAGTCATAAAAGCCAACATAAATGGTTTCAGCATAACGTAGGTTTTCCAAAGAGACCCCATATGCCATATCAGTACAACAAAACAGAAGGAAACATTCATGACACTCTACAAACCCCCAAAGCCTAACATGGATTGTGAAAGGGGATTCAAGAGAGAGCATAGCTGGGATAATGTACTTTGTCTTTTATCTAATGTTCTCCCTATTTTATTTGATTTGTCCTTTGCCCTTCTATTACTGAGAATCACATGGCTTGACTTAAGTTTCTCTTTCTTTATGTGATCCCTTTGGTTTTCATATTTAGTGTTTCAGAAGTTTACAAACCAGTGGATTACAGATGGTGTATTGACTCAGCAGCTGTAATGGATCAGCAGAAGCGCTCTCTCAACCATATACTTGTCCTAAATCAGGCTTGTCCAACATGCGGCCCACCAAGCCATTTTCTGTGGCCCGCAGTGGTACGACGGGGAATGAAAGTAAACACTGTTTACTTTCGTTCCCACCCCTTGTCCCTCCCCCAGCCCCTCAGCAGCTTCCTAATGGCTGCTGAAGGGCTGGGGAAGGGACAAGGTTCCCACATGCACTGCATCAGGTTGACGTTGCTGATGCAGTGCGTGTGGGAAGAGGAGTAGCCGGCAGCAAAAGCACGGGTCATGGGTGCGGTGTGGGGCGGTCCCGGGCAGAGCTTGCACTGGCCAGCACTGCGGGCGGCAAGCGGAGCCCAGCCAGGCACACGCGGGGCGAGGGAAGTGGGGATGAAACCCCCCAGACCCTCCCCAATCAACTTCTCCCGTGCTAAATCGCCACTTGCACCTGGCTGTGCCTCTCAGGGCTGTGGCTGGGGAGAAGGAGGCATCATCCCAGGGCCCCCGCGCCTGCCCCGCTCCACGCTCACCTGCGTGGTTCATCTTCCTGGTGGCGGGCTGAGAAGTTGCAGCTGAGTGCTGCCCAGTGCCTGGCTTGCAGGTCCCCATGCGAGTGCACAGTGCCGGCCTGGGCTCACTGCACTGCCTCCTCCTCCTCCTCCCTCCCTTTCATAAGAAGACCCCCCTTTTTTTTCTGCTGGATCCAGGCTGGGAGCCGCCGGGCATGCTTGCAAGGCATGGTAGGGCCTGGGGTGAGGGGCTTGGGTGGCCTGGATCCCTGCCCCATGGCTGCTCCACCTGTAGAGCCCAGTACATGTGGGCTGCAGCATCACGGCCCTCGCCTGGCTCCTCCTGTGCATCCATAAGAAGCTTTGTTCTTATAACTTGAGACGACCTGCTTAAGCCCATGTGAATTCAGTAGGAGGTTCTGATGGTCAGGACTGAGGGGTATTATGGACTAAGAAATTTTACATTAGCTCATGCTATATACATTATCTAGTGCCTCCCTTGGATAGTAGATTCTTTCTCATTTCCTTTGGAGGTAAAGGTACATGTTACTAACTGCCTTCCCAAAACGTCTCCACACAAGTCCACTGTGGTTCAACTCCACAGCCAGCACTTCTCTTCAAAGGCAGATGAGTCAGTCATAATAAATACAGCCAGACTATCACAGAGAGGCATTAAATCTTTGTTCAATGTGATGGCTTCAGTGCTAACTTGCCAGCAGCCTCTGGGCTACACCTAAGTAAAATGGCTTGAGTTGCTATGGCCTGTCTTGAATGGGGATGTTGGATGAGACGGCAGGTATGGAGCCCTTGTAGGATGCAATTCTGGGCATGCAATGCTTTTATGTAGCTTTTGTGTTAAAGGTGGAGTACAGCCCATAGGGACCACCGCAGGAGTCCCAGGAGTGTGGCCCACTCTGCATCTTTGGTCATACTTTGGCTATCCCTGCTTTAGGTGAACTTGATTTCCACTTTGATATTTGTGGGAAGACTCCAACAAAGCTCTGACATGGCAGCACAGGAACAAAGGTGAGAAGGTAGGAGATAAAATTTAGCACAGGGGGAAGATCCTTAGGTGGTGTAAACTGTCATCACTCCACTGAAGTCAGTGGAGAAGACTTAATCCCATGGGTGACAAAGTTGTAGCTGGGCAGGGGGAAGGAGCATGTAGCTACAGTGAAAATGGGCTGAGCATGGCAGGCTAAGGTGAAAGGACATGCATGCAGGCTGGTATCTGAAAAGGAGCAGGTTCTTTATCTGCCATTAATCAGAAATATCTCCTGTTGGCCTTCAAGCAGAGGTGCCCATGGCTTCAATTTTCACAAGTGGCCTCTGATTTTGGATGCCTCAGTTTCTTGGTACTCAGTATAAGTCTGGACTTAAGCAGTCTTGACCCCCCTCAACTGCTGTGAAAGTCTAAGGGCCTTTTGGAGAATTTAGCACCTCTGAAAGCCAAAGCCTAAAATGTCTCATCTTTCACCAGGATCATAGAGGTGGACTGAATCATGGGTTCCTGTTAGCCTTAGCTTCCATTACATACTTGCTACATAGCTGCCCCTGGGCTGTTTTCATTATTCCTTTGAACTTACATGAATATGGACTTGCCAAATTATTTCTCAAAGTTTTAGGATTGAAAAAAAGTCCAGTTAACTTTCAGTATGTTTGCTTATCATTTTGTTTTTTGCTGTGGTCAAGCTTTGAAACATAGGTGCAGAAATGCAGAGACTGGCCTCCCTCGAGGTACCTCTGCCTTGACCTTCACAAGAAAGCCTGTACCCTTGAGATCCCCAGGCCAATTTGGGATTCCTGAAATGGCTCAGATGAGCTTTAGATGAGGGTTCATGCCTGCGTGTTTAGTTAGCTCAGGCTTGTCCAACATGCAGCCCGTGTGCCACCATGTGCCCCTCCAAGCTGTTTTCTGAGGCCTGAGGTGCTGCAATGGGAAACGGAAGTAAACATTCCTTTCATTTTGGGGTGGGGGGAGGGTGAGGTCTTTGAATATGGCTCACCGGCCCACTGGGTGATAAAAAGTTCATGATCTGGCCTCACATTCAAAAAGGTTGGACACCCCTCTCCTAAATGGAAATAGTTAAAATATTGGGTTTGTTCCCTATTGTCATTGAGAATATACCATAAGAATGTGTAAGATAATGAACATCCAACTAGAAAGATGATCCATTTCACCATACAGCTTCCTCCACTGCTTGCTCTGTAGTAGGGCTGTGCAAAACAGCACTGTTCCATTTCGACTTGAATTTGGAGGTTTCAACGGAACAGCGTTTTGTTTCAAATTTCATTCTGATTCAAAACCGCTGTTCTGTTTTGCTTTGTTGTAACAGTGACACTGTTTCAAAGTTTCACTCATTCACTGTAATGGGGAAGCTCGAAACAGCCTCTCTCATCGGACATGCAGATGGGGGCCCATAATCCCAGGAGGTCTGCGGGGGCTGTGCCAGTTCTTCCGGGGCTGTGGGCCCCGATATGCCTGCCAGATGATGGAGGGAAGCCGGGTGCTGCTGCCTGGGACCAGGGAGCAGGGG